CACCACTACCAGCAAAACAACTAACCTCCCCTGAGTCCTCGAACTCCGCGAAGGCCACCGTTCCGAGCGCCAGACACGTCGGCGGGAGGAGGCACCCCCCGCGACGATGGCTGGCTGGGGTCCCGTTGGTCCCGAGAACGAAGTACGGGAACAGCGCCACGAAGAAACACAGCGTCCCGATGGTCGAAGCAGTCTTGGCACGGCTGAAGAATGCTGTGGGGGGACGGGGGAGCGGGGGTACAATGCACACATGCGGGGGGGTGAACGTTCTAGGCTGTTTGACGTAGGTGCTGTTGCGCTCAACCTCGCGGGTGGCACATGGAGGCCTTGAGAGAAAAACAGGACGGGTGGTTGTGATTGTCTAGGCGCTTCCTCTGCACGATCGAACAAATGGTGGAGCGGGGGGCGGGGCGGGGGGCCTGCTGATACGCATCTTTGTCGAGAGGTGAAGAAGATCAAGGGCAGTGTTCTCATCGTGAGAGAGGCACTTCTGAAGCAGGACTGTTTTTTCGGGTTAGGTGGTGCAACGTACCGTGTAACGGTGCTCAGTCGTTCACCTTCCATCATGTGGAACCAGTGTTGTGAGGTATCGTAAACGTCCATTCAGAGTGAATTAGTCGACCATGAAGTTTCAGTATCTTCATGAGAGGAGATGGAGAGACAGGGTGGAAATGGGAGGTCGAGTGCATCCCCGTCATCTTTGTCCCCAGCCGGTGGCATTGATTTCAGAATATTGGAGAGCTATTAACCAGAGTTCGATGACTGAGCTCAAGATTTTGGCTGCCTTTTCTTCAAGGTGCATCTGCCTCACCCGACACGAAGAAGCAGAAGGCCGTGCTCGCCATGAAGAACAGGAAGAAGTACAAGAAAACCAGGCCCCGGTCGCTGTTGTTGTTGTGCGTTTGTTCCATTGGTTGTGTTGTCGTCGTGTCGTACGCACGCACAACAACGCAAGGCGCCGACAGGAAGCACACATTCGGTCAGTTCAGTTAACAAAAGGGTACTTTGAGGCAGGAAACTTGTATCATGCACGACTCCAATGAATTGTGTTGACAGGTTCAATGACAGAGACACAAGCAGTTCGGGCGGTTTGCGGTGGAGACCGCCGGCCGGGGAGCAGACCGCCAAACAGGTACTCATTAGGCAACATTTGCTGCCGGCCGCATGGCACAAGGCTGAACAAGGCTGGGTGGCCCGCACACAAAACTGCTACTCTCACACACCATGTGATGACCATCGTTCGCGATAAGGCTACCATATGCTGCGATAGCTTCGAGAAACATTCACGTGTGGGATAAGTGCCTCATACGTATCAAGCTATATCTAAGATGGTGGTGGATATGTGCCTCTTCTTCGTTTTCGTTTCTCGGAAAAAAACAAGCGACCCCGCAAACATCCACCTAAACTCGAAAGTACCTCACCCTAACCAAAATAACCACCACGATGACGACTAATGGCTCTTCCCCTTAGAGCCTGAAAAAAGATCCATAGAACTCGCGCAAACATTCCTGTTCGCGTGCAACGTGCTGTATGCCCATCGCGTGGCACCGCAACCAACCCATCACCAAATCTCTCCCCCCGTCCCCCCGCGGGAGGAAAGAAGCAAAGAGAAGAGGGGGAAAGCGAAAAAGCCAACCCCCACCTGAACTCGAACACGCTTCCAGAGCAGAAGACCATGAACAACGACGTGAAGAGGAAGAGGCACGCGAAGTTGAACGCCCAGGAGGCCGTGTGCGCGGCGTCCGTGAGGCCCATCATCTTCAGCCCTTCCTTGATGCGCAGCTCCTTCTCTTTGACAAGGACACTGATGACGTTAGACACCGGGTAGAGCACCGCAATCACCACCAGGATTGCGAACATGCTGCCCACCTGAGAAGAACAAGAGTTGATTTCGTGTTTTTGGTCTTGTACGGAGTTCCATTCAAGTCGTTGGTTTGTTGTTGACCACGTTCCACGTTCGTCTCCAGCCGAAAACGAAAAAAGGGAATGGAGTGAACGGCGACCTACAGGTTTTTTTCCTCCCAGCAAATCTTCACCTCCCCTCGAACACACGGAGGTGGTATGAAGTGTTCCGCAGCAATATTGTACACAGTTTTTCACCTGTGCCCAGAACCCATCGCTCTCGTACTCGGGACTCGGGAACTCTGTGATTCGCGCAACAGGTGGCGGCGCGGTGGCCGTGGATCCTTGCTCCAAGTCCATGATCCAGCTGTCAACGAGCTGCTGCAGCATCAGCACAGGTGACTGGTGGTACATCTGATTGGTTGATCCGTTGACGGCCAATGCATCACCCACGAAGGAGAAATGAGAGAGAGAGAGACAGAGAGAGAGACAAAGAGAGAGACAAAGAGAGAGACGGGCAGAGGGAGAGGGAAGAAGAACGGAGGGCAAGAAGATTCAGGGCCGGGGCCAGAGACGGAAAGGCCACGCATAAAGCATGTTGCGCGCACGGAGAAGAGGAGTGGTGCTACTTGTTGTTGGCGGAAAAAACGAAGCATGAATACGGCGCGAACGGGGCCTACATCGAAGGGCAATAACAATGAGCATACTGCTGATGACCACAGCAATAACACCACAAAAGCTTACCGCGGCCCAGGGAACGATGTCGCGCCCCTGGTCATCGCCCGGGCAGTCGGCGGGAGACTTGCAATTGTTCTCAGTCGTGGCTGTGGTCACAGGGATATTGAACATGTAATATGCGTCCGTTTCGACCCCGCTTTTCGTCATGTTGGCGCGGATCTAAAGTAGATAATAACAACGACAGCAGCAGCAGCAACGGCGAAAGATGTTTCACTGAAACGGCAGAGCATTTGTTGGCAGTTTGGGAAAAATCATTGTTCAACCAAGAACAATTATTACATCTCTCGCACGGATACAATCCGAGAGAGCGTAGTTCTGCAGCCTAGTGCATAGCCTTCGTCATGTGTTTCTACTGGTCATTGCACCGAATATAGCATTACCCCCTCATGGGCAACACACCGAACACACGATTTGGCAGTCGTCTTGTGTGCCTGTCTCGCTGTACAACTTTGTTTTCGACCACCCAGGGTGTCAGTATTACTTGCACACGAGATTTAGCCGTGAGAAGTGAGTACAATTCCGATCGTCCACAACTCGCATCCTGTTGGCTTCATATCTGAGTTGTTCGGCTCCAGAGCAGTGAAAGGACCGAATGTTCGCTGATAGCTTTGTGGAATCCTTATCCTTTGGCGGTTCAACTTTGACAAATTTCCGCCACCAGGAAGGCGACAAGTGACAACCATGAAGACGTTGAAGGCGGACGAAGGTCTTCTAAATGCCAAAACCGAATACACCACCACCACCATCAGCATCCAGCATTTAACTTAGTATATGCGGAAAGCTAGTCTTCTATATACAGCTGAGCGATCCACAACGCCGTGTGCACGCTACCCATCACCTTTTGTCATTAAGACAATAGCTCACCGTGTACCCCCAGTCAGGAGTGCCGGAGGTGAAGACGATGCCGGCGGCAAACGCGGGTTGGTCGTTGGCCGGGTCTTGAGAGTAGCCCGACTCGCCGATGATGTCGAGGAACTCCGATTCCGAGTCGTAGCTGACCCAGTGGCTAGCCGTCTCCGGGAAAGCGGTGGTGACGTAGTCGAAGAAATCGTCAGCCTCGTCGGCGGCTGCCCCGTCGTCGGCTGGCATCACGGCGAAGGTCAGCGTCTGTTTCAGTGTTGTACGATTCGAGACAACAAGGGGGAGGGGGGGGGGGGGGGCAAGGACAAGGACGGTGAAGGGGGGGCGTGTGCCGCAATTCGGTTGTTTTTCTTTGTGGAGACCTGGAGGGGTCATTGGCTTCGGGGGGATCAGCAGAAGAGAATGATCGAAGAATATCGTAACCACAACCATCAAAGAAGAACTCCATTGTCAGCACCGCCGGTACCAAACCTATATCGCCAACGATAATACCATCAGAACCGTCACCAACAGCCACACCGACGACAACCACGACGACATGCACTTGGATATTTCTCTGGATAAGAACAAAGTTGTTAGAAAGGTGTTTTGATATTGCCATTGTAGGATACGTAAGACTTGGAAACCTCCCTGGTACAAAACCTTGGGTGACACCGCGCTAACGTCTGTCTACCACTCAATCTTCTGCAAGCCGAGCGTCCTATTTACCTTTTGCTACCTAAGCTTAAGTGCGCTGTGAATGACACCGTGGATACAGAGTTGTCTCAAGAACAACTTCCAGGATTTGCTCAACTTTGCCATTTGGGAAGCGCTGGAGAAAAGTTCCATCACACAGAGCACCACTTGACAGTAACACCGTTATGCTAGGAGTATGTTCCGCCCAGGGGACCATGCATATGGTAAGTGCCCAGCCGAAGACATCACCTCTCACAACCCAGGGCGTGCCACAATCGAAGTATTTGCTGCTGTGTCATACGTGTGTAAACACACCGCGCGGCTAGCTTCGAACGCAGCACTCTTCTCCTTGTACAGCTCGAATCTTAAGGAAACCCGAACCATCTCCGCCTCGTGACACCTGATACGCACAAATCCGAGTCAAGACAGCCCACTCACCCTCCAGACCCCTGTCTAAAAATAAAACTGCTATGGCAAATGGGCAGAACGGCACCGCCGTGTGAGGCGAGAGAAAAAGGATCAAGAAACCTAACTGACTGGGTCAAACGACTTGAAAAACAGCCGATGCTCTCCGCTGCAGCACCCTTCTCAGAAATTGATTGAAACACCCCAACGAACCTCGCAGGTGTCGCTGATCTCGTCCGCGGGGATGGAGAGACTGACCACGCTCTCCAGAAGGCCGATGGCGAACTCGATCGTGCTTAGGTAATCCGCCGCGGAGAAGTCCAACTCCGAGGTCCCCGCCCCGCAAGCATCGTCCAGTGTATCCGATCCCATCGTGCTTACGTCGAAACCCAGGGCCGGAGCGTGGCAGACCTTGAAGATAAACTGGAGTTTAGACAACAGGAGAGCAAGTGGCCTTAAGAGAAGGCACGGCGCGCAAAATTTGCACCGAGAGCGAGCAGGACATGTTCCCGAAAAAAGAAGCTTCCGATTGCCCCCCCCCCTGCGTCCGTGAAGGATATGGTGGAAACGTAAAGAGAGGCCAAACGTCGGTGGCCCCTCTAGCAGGAGTAAGAATGAACAGGTGTTTGTTCGCGTTGAAAGGCGGGTGTTTCGTAGATGGTTAGCTAACGAAGGATAGGCAACCAATGACTACTCCCCCCAACTCTAGCTAGCGGGTTGGCTAACCACGCACAGCCGTGGAACTATCCAACCGTCACTTGGAAATAACCCGCGTGATCCTTGCGGAACAAACAACGAGAGAAGACAAAACTGCCGACATTCCTGCCCACACACTTCGTACACACCCACCGATCCACCCACAACCTCTGATGCTGACTCATCTCGTTGTTGTAAATCCATGAAACTCGAGAGAAAATACGCCACTCGTCTCAATGACCCCCGCCCCCCAATATATACACTCTTGTGGTTATGACACTATGGGTCCTACGAGCAGGCTAGCGACGACGAGGGATCTCGTGTTACGGTTCTTGAAGTGCGAAACGGAAAAATGGACGCGAGAGGACAAACGGCAAGCTGCCCATTTTCGTCTTGCACACACCTTGGCGATGGCGCACGCGTCCGTTGGGGAAGTGTTCGAGCTGGACCCAGAGAGCGCGGAAACTGCGGCGGTGCAGAAGGCGATCAGGGTGTTCGCGTCGTGCTGCGTCGCCCACATGGCCTGCGGCGGAGCAGGAGACGAACCGAAACCCACAACGGCGGGGAGGGTAACGGTTCGACGAGTTGTGCAATTTCGAATACAAACACAACAGTCAGTGCGAAGGACAAACCTTGCTAGCGTTTGCCGTCGCTACCCTCATCGCCATGGTTGTTGTTGTTGACATCGGCATGGGGTTGCTTAGTCTCGTTTTCGGAACACGGGTCAGCGCGCGCTTGGGACCAACAGGCAAACAAGAAAGTTGACGAACATGTGCAGATTCTTTGAACTGTGCAGCTTAGGCGGGTATACTGAAATGGAAAGCGTAACAACAAGGTACGCCGGTGTGATCAGGTACACTAAGGTTGTCGCTCTCTTGGTTGCGAGTATCGAATCTCTTACCACTCCTGTCGTGTCAACGCCAAGCCCGGTCAGGTAGATGCCCGGCGCTGAGTACGCGTCCTCGTCGAGGTGACAGTCACACCTGTGTGGCAGTTACAGAACCAAACAATCAAGGAAAACCAAAAGGCGAAACCGATACGAGTCGTATGTACCTAGGATAAATGGTGGGGAATGTGCCACTGCTTGGCTGTCGCAGCCGCAAAGCGACAGTTATCAACTATAATACCCGTACATTCACGGCGATGCAGCCAGAAAAGTGCACACAACATAGAGTGCAACGGTTCTTGGGAGTCGGAGAAGTTGCAGTATTATCCTTAGACTGCGCAGAGGTCGCGTATGTGTCACCACCTAGCTAGGGTTACCGGCGTTCATGTACGCAGGCATTGCGCATAGAGCGACAGATGTTCGCAGGATACTCCTCGGAATGAAGGGAACAGCTGAAGATCCCTTACCCGTGATTTTTCCGGCGAAAGCGTTTGAATACGAACTTAGCAGCTGACGTTGGGGTGGGGGAGGCATTGCCCACACTTGACTTGGTCAAAATAAATGTGTGATGAAACCACTAGACTGGCCGTTAAATTAATGGCACAGCCGATGAACACAACAGGTGCAGGCGCGCGTGCTTGTTAGCGAGGAGCATCCAATCCCTGCCGACTTCAGACGTCACCTCTCGCTACCAGTTGCACTCATGGCGGGGTGACGGTGGGGGCTGTGGCGACACGCTTGGCAAGATGCCGAACGACGTGAGCCAAAAAAGCGGAATGAAAATACTAAACTTGTACTTGTTTCAGTCCTCCGGCAGACTCGTTAAAAAATATGGCACAGTATGTATTGTCCATGCGATTTAGTTTTGCCACCATCTCCCAGGATCACTCTGAGATTTATGCCGAGTGACTGACGTATCGTAAGAACGCTCTGTTTCAGGCGAATCGTTTGATCAAAGTTTTTTTCTTGTTGTTGGCAGGAAAATCGCGATACATATCGTCGAGATCTTGAAAGATTTTGTTTGGTCTTGTTTGGTCGAATGTGAGGTCCGATTTTACGTTCTAGACCGGTCTTGAGCGTATCACGTGGAGGAGCTCACGAGGACCCAACTCAGTGTTCATTTCGCTAAGGAGAAATCGGCAAGAAGACGCTTTCCAGGTAACCTCAGAGTTTCGCTTCCGGGGAAGAAATGCATCGCACCTTAATCATCGATAGAATTCGAAAACCTCAACGGATTGGGACGAATTGGACCTGCACCCAGGACATTATCTTTTTGTGGCGAGGCATGGCCCGTCAAGGTTTGGTGTGTGCATACTCCACGCATGACCACACGACACACCATCATCCCATCATACAGCAGTACAATCTATATTTGTCTATCTAAACAGGTGATTCTTTTTCGCTGTTTCGGAGTGGGTGCTGAGAGGGGGAGAGAAGCAAGCGCGGATAGTCGACGGGGGGCACGACCATGTCACTTCAGATTGTATGCTGTAGCGTTTCGGGGTAACAAGTGCCGTTTCGGGACAATTCCGGGGTATTTTTTCCCAAAAACTCAATTTTCACCGATTTGATTTTGACACCGGATTTCGATGCATCTCTGTCGTGCGGTTCTTGCCGACTTTGTTTCACGTCTCAACTCTTGAATATTGAGCGAGAAAACGTGGAAGTCACGTTGTGACAAAATTTAACCTGATGGACTCTACGGTCGCTCTCTTTCTCTTACTCCCAATCACACAACAGGATGTAGACCTTCCGTTTCCAGCGTTTTACCTTCATGCACATTCATTCCATATCGACACATCCAGCCCCTATCGTACCTACCGGAAGGAATTCCAGAGGTGGGAGCGCGTTTGCCCTCAACACATTATAGAGAGTATTTCCATTCGCGCACGGCTTCAGACAGAAAAATTCGTATGGCTTCGAGGAAGCGCTGATATTTACCTCATAAACATGTTGTTGTCGAAGCAGAGGACGTTGGGGAAGGTGGAGATGTTCTGCATGGCACCATATGTGGCAACCGGTGTGTCCGACGTGGGCACCGTCTCTTCAGTGACTTGGGAGACGATGGTATTCTTAATGCTCCCGACGAGAAGCATGATCATGGCTGGGCAGAGCAGTTCCAAAGCCTGCCAGATGCACAAAAAAAATAGCGACGAAAGATTAGATCGTTTTGTGTATGTACGAGAAAAACGAATTAAAGAAAAAAAACGAAATCCAAGGCCCCATACTTTTAACAGGAAGTTAAAGTTCCGACAGTTTGAGGTGTTGGGCAGGCAATCGGTCGCTATCCGATCTAGTGTATTTGACATGAAACTCGACAATCTTGACGCTTGATGTCAAAACGTGTATCTTCCCCCCGCTTCCATTGAATTCATGTGATCATACACGTTGAGATGACATGCCAACAAACGCGTAGAAGAGCACGGGTGTAAGCTGCGACAAAGACGGAAACAAAGAGCGCTACAGTGCCCTTCGCCAGCACGGACTAATCGATAGCGGTGATTGGTCTCCGCGTGTGACTCACTCACATATCAGAATTGATTCTCTATACATCACACACAAGTACCGCGTGTCGTGATCCGTGCTGTCAGTTGTCTGTGCATCAAGCACATCTGACTTGTGCCCTTGCACACATTTGACGCTTAGTGTGAAGAACAACAAGTTCCTTTCCCCTGGCGCCGAACTATTGCCACCACAACCCCCCCATGCAAAATCAGGGAACCACCAGCGCGGGAACACATTTTGCATTATTCCGTCCAAAGATCCCAGTCCACCCGTTCTTGTTCCATTGAAAGCGTGGAAAGGTCGAGATAAGAAGGGAAAAAGAGACACCAAGCAGGCCTAATGAAAAAGCCAAATTCCCAAGTTTCGTTTCCCAAGTTACACCTCTACCATTGGATCATTTTCCTGTATTATATGAGGCCGCGCTGAAACGTGTCAGCGCGGTGACATATCTGAGGGGAGAGGTGACATATCTGAGGGGAGATCTCCCACCTGCAATCAATGCGAACACCCGCTTGACTGTCGAAAAATAAAGAAATGAAGTTCGAGTCTGGACTTTTGACTGTATCAACACAGTTCGCAAAACCCATTACCGGTATCTCTCCACATGATGAGCCGTTGGATCCGCCGCCGGCGCATGGCGGAAGCATTACCTTCGGCTGGGAATGTGTTATTGTATCTGTTGAGAAGCACGATGACTAGTCAGCACTTTTGTTGAGAAGCACGATGACCACTAGGCCACTAGTCACTGGTCTAGTGGTCATCGTGCTTCTCAACAACAGCTACATAATGTCCGGGGTTCGAATCTCCCCTCGAGCATATATTTCTTTGCACCCGATATATGGGAAGAAAAAGTAACGTTGACTAGTGGTCTAGTGGTCATCGTGCTTCTCAACGGTATCCATATAGTATCGTATGAACACATACAGTACCGCAGACAAATTACAATAAGACGAAAAGGGCAAGACCAACAGAAGCAAGCGTTTGTGATCAGAGCCCGAAATCGCATCTTCGTGGGATTTTGGAGCGCCCCAAAGCGGAAGTTTTTACTGATTAGCTCCGGCTCCTGTGTTGGGGTGCTAGACAGGGCCCGGAGATAAGAAACGTCAAAATCGGGTCGAACCTCAATTTCTTTTTCCAGGCAGAAGGACCAGCCGAAGTCGGTCAATTTTGAGGACACAGGCTACCGTCAGAGACAGAAGCCGGTGCCGTGCAGTATTCTCCCTCAAAACGGATTTTTATTCCTTTGGGCTGTCTCATTTTGTTGTTCCTGGCGAAGAAAACATCAACACACCAAGCCTTCATGCAGCACCAAACCGACAGCTCGGGGTGGCGAACACTGTGGGGGTTGTGGCAGACAGCAGCAGTGGGTACCGCAGCCCGCGGCGGCGCTGGGGCGCGGGGTGCGCCACGAAAATGACCCTCTCCGCCCCTACCAAAAATTTACACGACATGAGCTAGGTAGGTGGGAGCATGGCAGCAGCAGCTACAGCAGCACGTTTATTAGTGGGCACGCCCCCCTAGCTTCTACTCCTTAGACTATTTCTTTTGTCGTGGGGTATCGCACGTTTCTTCTTATGTTGTGGCTGATTGAGCTACAGCAGCTAGCTGTGTTTCTTAGCCTTTTTCTCACAACATAAGTTTTCTTCATGCTACATCGATTCCCCGCTTCACTATCGTCGTCCTGTATCAGTCATTCGATACAGCAGCCTCGCGCAAAGATAGAGACGCCAAAGACGTGCACAAAAGATACAGAAAGCGGGACGACTACCTCACCAGCTGTAGCTTGGCGCGCCGCTTGCTTAGGAAGTTCTTGCGCACAAGAGCCCCAAACTGTCGGAGGAAAGAGGCGGCATGATCAGTATCTCCATCCCCGGCGCTTGGCGACACCCGCATCCCCAAGGCCATCGACAAGCCGGCACTAGCACACAGGCCAGCGACGGTCTACACTAAACCTGATGACGTGTCCGTGGGTTATCCAGGCCCAGGACGAAGGGAGCACACGCGCTCGCGGGCGCTTTATGCAAGCCCACACACCTATTTCGAACCCGTGGCGGTATCTTCTGTTCGATAAAGGCTAAACCATTTGACCAGTCGACCAGTCGTCACTCACTGACTGAGTGGTCTAATGGGGTAGCCTTCATCTGATAACGCCGAACGCCGAACGGCAGTCGGTTCCGTTTCAACGTTGCCGAATGCGGAGGAATCAGGGAGGAATGCCCTTTTTTTTTTCTGAATATGACACAACTTTTCCCTTTTCCGGTGCCGCTTCGCTCGGGAACTGGGAAACGAGAACCAAAAACAATGGTTCAGTTCTGCAGCTGCAAAATGCTGTCTGGGAAATGCGGGAAATCGTAGACATACAGGTACTTTCTGACGCTATGAATCCATTGCTAATCTGTCTCAGACTCTTCTCTATGATAGAGATGGTTTCGTTGTGTCATATTAAGAAAAAAAAAAAAAATCTGTGCGTCAGTCGTCTGTCGTCTGTCTTTTTATTATTAGCATCGACCGCGCTAACCGGCTGACCAATGTCTGTCTCAGTCTGTCCAGCTGTCCACTCGTCAAGTCAGTCGACTGTCTGTTGTCTGTTACCATCTGTTTGGGTTCCGCCGTCACGCCAGTACAGCTGCGCCAGTACAGCAGTATCGCGCGCGCCATGCGTCATTGCACCAAGAAGGCACAGCAGTCTCAGTGGAATTACTCGATGTCAACCCCTATCGCTTTCATTATCTGTGGCTCTGCTGATACCGTTGCAAATGCAGCACATACTTAGCCGCTTACGTCCAAGAGCCTAAGCAACCCTGTTCAGAAAACATAGTCTAAAGGATAATGTGAAGGTTGGCGTGGAGAGTCGAGGCCTTTTGATTGGCCCACATGCTACAGACGGAGCGGCAGCTTGCGAGCTTCCTCCGCGTCGTTCGCTACTCATTGGCTCAGCTCCACCCACAACCGCCATCAACTTCACAGCACGCTGCTGTACTGCACACACTGATGCGGGCGTTCCCGCTCGCTGATGATGATGATGATGATGTGATGGTGATGGTGATGGTGATGTAATGATGATGTGAGATGGAGAGTGGCGCATCTATCATACACATACATACGGAGTACGTACATGGCACAACACGAGGAGGGTTGGCACTGCTGTGACTCTTCTGACGAAGTTTGGAAACCCTGACCTCTATGTACGTTTGTATTAATTAAACAAAAAACGATCCCTGATGGCGATCTACTGTCTATAATTCGAGATGCTCTTATTATTGCTTGGCTCAGCCTGCTCCTCCTATTGCATTGGAAGCGAATCTGTTGTGACTTTCCCTTCGGTCGGGTAAGAAGGAAGCTCATATTTGGTACGTTGCCACCCATGTCCGGCGCTCGCCAGGCATCCGTGGCACAACTCGATGTCTACATACAGTTTCGAGGTCGCGTTCCGCGAATACAGGCTGGCGAGCCAATGCTGAGACCCCCCCAAAATGCCCCGTTTGCGGATTATTAAAAAACGGGAATATAGACTGTGGGCAAGTGAGCCCCGCATACCCGTTTCCTCCTTCCAATCGTACAAACGATGTTTTGTACGGAACGAGCACTACCGCTCACGTGAAGATACACCAACCAAGGAAAAAACGTTCGGCAAGTCTCCTTCCGTCACCCTTGTGAGGCCCAAACCGGCGTCCCGATCCCGTCGCACTTACACTAGACTACTGGTATATCTGGGCGAGGATACAAATGTGTGTCTACTTACCAAGACTATCATTTTGATGCCGCCGTCAATCCGAGTGCATCGTCATTGCACCAAAATTGGGTCCCGTGCATGTTGGCACACGCATGTTGTAGGGTCACGCGTTCATCACAACAGCGTCTGAGAACAATGAGACAGGGGCAGGGATCAGAAACAAAACACTTGCTACTACCAGCACGCTGAGGTTTTTGCTGTTGTTAATCGCGAAACACACTTTTGCGTGCAAGGCCGGTGAGCGCGGCCCCACCTCACGTGTTCGCGACAAGGAGCCAATGAGAGGCTGTCACAAGCCATCACGAACTCCTCGATCGGCCTTTTCCTCGGGAATCTGTGTCTCGACGATTGAGGAGACAAACAGCGGAAAGCGCACACGACTCATGCTACAGACGGAGCTATGATGTCGAGAACCCACTACTGGTACATCTTAATCATGTCCTTCCGTCCGGGTGCGCCGTGTCCACCACCACTTTCTCTGGTTATGGCACCCACAATATTGCTTGGAGACGTCGGTAGAGGCAGCGATGGTGTAGCGTTGGTTGCAGTCGTTGCAAAGCTCGCCGGTGCTGGTGGCGCGCTCTCGGTGCTGCGGACGATCACTCCGTTCTGACCGACAACCTCGAAGCGCTTGCTCGCGAGGTCATGCCACTGTTTTTCGCCCGTCGCGTCGTACGCGCATCTGTGCATCCTCCGCCTTGAGTCGTATCCAACAACCTGAGTTTGGTAACGGGTTATGCAGCGTCCGTTTTGCATCCGTTGAACGACAACAGCAGTATGTGTGCTTTGATTCGACAGATCTACACGGACAGACACGGGTGGTAGCTGCGATACGGTGAAAAACCGGCGCAAAACGAAATATGGCGTACTCACGCCAGCGTTGCGGACGTTCGTGAGGAGTGGTGCCACCTCGTACTTTCTCCTATGACAGACAAGTGGGTACCAGACAGTACTGCTGACCTTCAGCAAAAGAAACTAGAATCAGAGATCATTTCGTGAGGTAAGACATTGATACACTCATGTGATCCCGGTCAACACAGCTACCACACTGCAAATGAATAGACCGTACCGACTTCCTAGACCTTTGGCATCACCCAGTCACTGGTGCTATCCAAAACCGTTATTGTCACGGTCTATGTGCGACGCACTTAAGTCGTACACTCCCGAGTTGGTTTTTCTCAAAAGGAAGGTTTACCTGGCACTCGTAGTAGTGGTCGTAGCGAAAGGAATACACCTGTTGTTGCCGTTGCGTCCAAGATTCGGGCATGCACACAACAGCGGGTGAGTCGTCCGATATCACGAAGCGTGAGTAATCCAGCGACACCGAGCAAGACATAGAAACGCGACGTTAATCCCGATAACGAAGTGGATAGCTTGTTGGACAAGGGTGCCCTAATCATCACATGTCAGCTATCCACCCACCAGAAGACGTCAGTAACACTGAACGACCATAAACGGCAATTTTTGGATGGATACGGTGATGCCCATAAAATATCCGACCGTGGCGTTCTCCATCACCCGTAAAGAGAGGCCGGATATTCCGGGACACCACCAAATATTCGAAGGAATATGCGAAGGAAGCAAAAGAAAACATGGGGGCCTGGGAAAAGGACTATGTCTGTGTGACCCTGAGCCGAAGAGACGTTCAGCAACCAAACGAAGTAAAGGCAGTCACCACCCACTGCGGGCGAAAGTTTCCGATGTACTCCCGTCCCCCTCCGGGCGCCTCGAACTACTACTAAATACACAAAAGAACCGCCGAAAAGCGTGTCATTTCGCACCTTCAGTCGCAGCCCTAGATCCGCCACACTGTACGAAAGGCCCTTCTTCCTCTGATCGTCGGCATCGGCCCCGAGGAACTCCTGACCAGACCTCTGTTTTTGCTCTGGCGATGATCGTGCGAGACGTGGATGCGTCGCTGCAACAACCTTTGTTGCCGAGGAACCACCGCCGCTACCACCACCGCCACTTCCCACCTTCCCTTGCTGGCGCCGCCGTGGCCCATGTTCCTCGCCGCCACCGTCGTGTGGTCCCACCTGAGGAGATGCCGGCTCTAAAAACGCCGACGGCTTTCCTCGCACAGGGGACCTGGAACCTCCTACTTTTCTGCGGTAGATTCTCCGTGAGTTCGACCTTGCTCTGTTCCTGCCGGTGGGCGGCCCTCCCGTGCTGGTCGCCGGTCGCCGGCGCTGCACACTCGGGGACGGGAAGGGGTGACCGTGCAAGGACGATGGCGACGAGGGAATCGGGGACTGATTCCGAGTTCCGGTCTGCCGCTGCCGCCGCCGTCGCTCGAGGGGGGGGTTGATCGCGGGCACCACTCGTTGCACCCTTTCCCCGGCAAACGCCTCCACCGCAGAATTGTCGTTGATACCACTGTTGTTGGTGCTGCTCGCTCGTCTGTGGGGGTCATTAATCTCGCAACCGTCTGTTGTTGTTTCAGGGGATGCTAGCACGGCCGCCATCATCATCGCCGTGGTGGTTGCGGTGGTGGCAGGGGTGGGGGTGGGGGTGGGGTCGACGTTTGTGATCGAATGAGTTTCCCTTGTCGTTCTACTGGATTGGTCTGCCCAGCCGGTCCTTACTGGACCATTGTCGTCCCCGACGTTGATGCTGATACCCTTCTCCTTCGATACAAGTGCCCGGAGGACAGGTTGTGCCACCGTCGCCATCAAGCTGCACGTGTCTGGTGCTGCGAGGGCTCCGTCGTAACACGGCGGTGATCGTCGTTGTTGTCCTCGTCGATCTTCGTGCTGATCTTGGAGTTGCTGAACTTTCATCTTTGCATCCGCTGGTTGGCCTCCGTTTGCATTGGTGCGGGGTGATGGCGTCGGAGGAAACCGCCCGACCCTCGGTTCAATCGTACCTTCCAACGATGTTGCGGTGGTGGTGTTGGTGGTAAGTGTTGTGGTGGTTCGCGAGTCACAAGTGTCAGCACGGACATCGACAACCCCCCCACCGGCTCCCGCCATCAACTCCGCCAGCTGGGCTTCTAACGCAAGTCTTTGAGCTCTCGCGGAGGCAAGGCGACGTCTCTCACCACGAAGCCGGCGCCTTTCTCTGCCCTGGGCCTCGAACATCAAGTCCTCGAGCCTCTGAGATTGATCTATAAAAACTTCTATATCTGCCTGCTCGTCAGGGTTTCCGTTGACGTTGTCGCCGTCGTTGTCGCCGTCGCCATCTACCCCTGCGGCAGCCCCGCTCTTTACCGGGACGGTTGCTGTTCCTCGCCCTATTCCACCCCCACCACCTCGTTTTACCAAGCTTCCGCTGACTACACCTTCTTGGATCTCGCGACGAAACATGGCGAGCTGCTTCGCTTCCTCTGCATCCTGCTCCTCCTCCTCCTCCTCCTCCTTTTGCTCCGGTGAGCCCGACGCCCCTTCGGCCTCCGCGCTGTTGCTAACAATAACCCGAACCTCCTCCGCCGTGAGCGCATCCTCTACAGGCTCGCCTTCACCTCCCGAGTCTTGTCCTCGGCCTCCGTCCACAGCGAACTGCCTCTTCCGAAACTTCGGAAGACGTAACGCCGTTGAAGGCACCGCTGCCGCCGCCTTACTCGGACTTGCGCTCCTCCTTCTGCCCATGACCACACCGCGCGATGGCGACGACGACGCCCTCCGGGTAGGGTCATCTGGGTGGCGAGGCGACGACGATGATGCCGGCCTTCGACGCCGCGCGTCGGCAGCTGCGGCGGCATACCTCGCGCTCCAGTCGATTGGGGAAGACGGCGGCCTGCCTCCTACGCTCCGCGCGCCGCCGCCCCCGCTGCTGTTCGGATGCCGACGCTGCCGTTTCAACCGTTGCTTGTTGCTTTGGAGGGTGAGGCGCTTGACATCTTCCCTAAGGCGGGCGTTATCTTCCCGCAAGCTTTCGTTCTCGGCGATGAGCTTGGCGGCCTTGCGCTTCTGGACAGCTGTAGCTGCTGCTGCTGCTCCTCCTGCTGCTGCTACCGATGGTGACGATGATGATGATGGTGGTGGTGGTGGTGATTCTGAGACTCCCGAAGACTCTTTGCTTCCAGCTACGGTCGACGAACAACTGTGCCGCGCTGCTGCGTTGTTGGACACCGCCGATGTCGTCATGGAGTGTCCTTTATCACCCTCCTCTTTGACTCCTCTTGCCGACCCATCACCAGCACCACCAGGGCTAACGTCGTCAACAGTTTCCGGGCAAGGTTTCGTTTCCTCGGGTGTTCCGTTTCTGTCGTGGTTGTGGCAACTTCGGCTGGATTCGTTAGGACAGTGTCCATCGTTATTGTCGTCTTCTGCAGCCGTACCAAGTAGTGTCCCTTCGAGGGCTTCGCGGAGTCGCTTCTTCAGGCGCTTGATCTCGGCTCGGGCTCGGGCCAGCAGCACCCTGTCGTCAACGACCTCGTTCGCCCGTAGACGCACCATCACCTGCAACCCGTAATTTGTTGAGTACGTTGGGCTTCGCACAACCACTTTGTGAACGAACCATGGTGAAACGAATGGTGCACAGCAGGTGTTTGGGATCGACAACAGAGTAGCGGATCGCCTAGAGGGTAGAAAGGTTCGGGAGCAAGAGGTGAAGTTTTGTCTGCTTGGGTACGACCTGTATTCTGTTTGCGTAAAATGGTTGCTATTCAGATGGGGTGGTGTGCAGAACTTGAGTGTTTCTGTGCGCCGGAGACATGTGGCTGCGAAACGAACAAAGGCGAACGAGCTCTCACGTTGGAGCTGCCCTACTTGAAGTCATTGAGAGAGAGTACCGAGCGGGCGCCAAGAAACGGGCGTGTGACTCTTCTCTCTCTCCTACCGGCCGCCACCACGGCGTTCACCGTAGCAAAGTTTCACCACGAGGAACTAGGCACTGCTGTCGGAAAAACTGTCAGGACTCGCCCAACGCCCCTCCCACCTTCTTGGCGCGGTCGGCGAACTGAAGAGTGTTTATCGTTTCGTGGGTCTGCCCAGCGAGAGGGTTAATGCACGCGATTATTGTGGTCCTCGTGTTCCCGCCCAGAGAGTCCTGCAAGAGTCTCGTGAGCTTGGAGTCCCTGTACGGCACGTGGGTCCTCCCCTTCTCCGATAGTGCGGACACGACGTTTCCTAGCGTGGACAGGCTCTGGTTGATGCTGCGTAGCTCCTTGAAGTGTCCCTTCGAGATGCTCAGTGCTGAGTCCATCTTTTCAGACCCCGCGAGATCGACCAAGCTGAGCTTGGCCTGCCGGTACGTTATGTGGTCGCTGGCACCACCACCGCCCTCTTCGCCGCCCCGCCCCCCACTCTTCACTTCCACTGTAAGCTGCATCACCGCGTGGCTTCTGCTGCTCGCCTCGTTGTGCTGCGTGGCGCGCACTCGCCTGTTGGCAGCGCCAAGGTTCACGTAGTGTAGCACGTCCTGCGCTCCTCCAACTCGAAACGACGAAAGCCCGTTGACGAACACGTTCGCTTTTCCTCCCTTCGGAACAGGACTTGCGCGATTTTTTTTACCGTAGCCGGCGCCAAAAAGCACGTCTTCCCCATTCATACCACCAGTCTCATCTTCTCCACCACGACTACTCTCATTACTCCATGGACGTCGTCCACCACTAGAAACACTATTCCTGTGCCCCCCCCCTCCGCCTCTTCCCCCTCGGTCCCCTCCTCCGGCCTCTTCCCTGATTTGGAGGGGCGCGGCTCCCGCTGCTCCTCCGCTATGAAGGAGGAGGTCGACTAAGTTTTCGTTGTAGATCTGCAGGAAAGAGCACGTCACCGAGTAAGAGAAGGTCTCATCCTCTTCCGATTCGAGGTTGAGGCGGTCGAACAGGAACTGTACTGCTCGGGGAATGATGCCCCATTCCGTCTGATCGTCCGCGAGTCGTGTGCCGCCGCCAGGTCCTTTGAGTTGAGAAGAAGAGAGTCGTGCGTGAATGTATATTGGGTCAACATGAGGAATCTTTGTACGCGAGACATTGTTCCCATCATACGATCTGCAGTGCATACAATACACATGAGCTTTAATAACACTAGTCTATCCGAGAAAGATCGTGGTATGATAAACAACACACGGGGTTGTCGCGATGTACAACTACTGCTCCAGGTGCAATGTGCCTTGTTGAAAGCCAGTCGAATTTTCCAAGTGTGAAAGCACCCGCACAGCCAAGATCAATCCTCTCATCCATCCGATTGTACACTTGCTTCCCGCTCTTCGGTACCTATTAGTGTGTGGGTCTTTCCGGATCCTGTCTGGCCGTACGCAAGAACACAGGCGTTGAAACCCTTAACGACTGTGTCCAATGCAGGCACGAGCCCGCGGAAGATGTCGTCCTGGGATGAGCTACAGCCAAAAACTTTGTCGAATGCACACTCGATCGATTTGTTTGGTCTTTCAGCGTCCCGAACACACACGCTCGTCTCGTCCTCGTTAACCTCGACCACCTGCTGCGGTAAGGGTTGATGAGAAGTACCACACAGGAGGTGAGCTTTTGTACTAACAGAAGCATATCTCAACAAGCGAAAGTCATGCGGCCGACGCAGGAGACCTGTCATTGAACTATCGCTTCCGCTGGTTTGTTTGTGTTTGTCTTGTATCAATCGAATTTCGTGTGAACACTCCTACGGGTTCTTCTCTCGGCCCACCTGCGAGCTGTCCCCTTCTTCATCTTGCGAACCACCAGTGCTTCGCACTCGCACGAAGACAGCAATACCTTCAACTTTATGCTTGGTTTCGCCTCTTCGTTGCCCCATTGTTCCGTCTAAGAGCCACGCTCAGAGAGATCTCTTTAGACAAATGCGGCTTGCGTGTGCTGTAAGATGTCAGGAGAAAATTCGCGATCGTACACGGGAGAAACTACATGAAAAATCCGTTTCAAATAATCACGATGTGTTATGCGGGCAAAATTTTTTGTGGCTCTTGACTTGGCGATCCAAGTCTCTTGGAGGAGATGGCCTTAAATGAGGTGTGCCATTCGTTGGAAGAGGTGTGATCTTTGCGGAGCAATACTGAAACACCAACGCCCTCCCGCGATACGTCAATGTCGTACATGTAGATGTGCATCCAAGACTTCGACTCCACGAAACCACAACCATACTCGGAGAAAACTTTGTTTGTACCTCAAGCATCGGTACAGAGCGGAGGGAGGATGAGAAGGTGACGAGAGAAGGGCAAAGAGAGAGAAGCATGGGGACAAAAACGGGAACAAGAGGGAAGAGCGAGAAGATCTGCGTATCTTCGTGAATTGCAGTTTCGCACCAACCGGCAGTAGTTACTCCGCACGCACACGCCAACGATCCTCTACAAAACATATCAGGCACGAGGCACGAGCAGGGAGGGCGTGTGGCATCGGCGGATATGTGTCAAGGAGGACCATGTGGGCGGCATGGGAACTACTGTTTTTGTGCCTTGTTGGAGGTGCAGGAGCAACGTTGCTCGGGCCAATCTCTGCATTTGTTTGCGCCCCAAGGCTGCCGAGATCACCTGACGTGGTTCGGATCACCCCACAGGAGCAGCAGCACGCGTGTCAATCCATCGCTCGGAAGGGCGTTGTCAGCTCACCCTTGTCAGTGAGACCCACGACCAGAGCCTCTCCCGCCGTGTCGCATTCGTTGCGCATGGGTGGTGGCAGTGAGTTTGGTCGAGGGCCGTTCAAAACGGAAGGCAGGATGGGCATGAGTGCTGTGAGCAACAGCAACAGCAACGGCAACGGCAACGGCAACAACAACAGCAACGACAGCACAAGTACCAGCACCACTACCACTGCTGACGACAACAGCAGTAACGGGGACGAAAGTGGACAAAACACAGTAAAAACACCTACAGACGTACAAGTGGGGGGTGCGAACAAAAGCGGTGACCTCGGTGTTGCTTTTGTTGGACTGGCCAACGTATCGAAGTCGATCAAGCCGCTACCACGTGTTGGCCTGCAGCAGCAAGGCCAGTACAAGAAGAGGAGGAAGAAGAAGCCGTCTCGCCCTGTGAGTAGTGGCAGCCCACTGCTGTCGAAGGCAACGACGCCCGGACGTGTCCCCCTCGGCAACGATGTGGAGGCAGAACCACCAGCAGTAGCAGCAGCAGCAGCAAAAGTATCACCAGGGGCAGATAGACGGGGCGGGCCCTGGAAATGGATAAGACCTCCATGGCACAACCGGAAGCAGGCCGTTCCAGACACGTGCGAGCTTGCCATAGCGCCCGACGCAGCGAGCGCGACGATGGTAGCGGCTCCCTTGGGGGGTGAAAGGAGCACCGGCGGCAAGCACCAACGCAATCGTGGATCGTGGGGCGCCTCAACCTCTTCGCTTCCCATGCTCCCGCCGGCGCGAGAGCCGAGCGATGTCTCGGCGTCGCGACAGCCACCTTCTCCGCTGGAATCACCCCCCGCCGCCTCAACGAGCAAGGAGAGCCAGCAGCAGCAGCAGGAGGAGGCCGGAGAAGGAAACCAGGTTGTCGATGCGGTGTTGTACGCGATCAACCTCGGGTGGCCGTGGTCTCAAGTCGCTGCCCTCGGCGAGAAGGTCGTGTCGCCGCAGCTGCAGCAGCAGCAGGCGGAGATGTCGGAAGAGGCGAGTCGAATCGTGGATTCGATGCTGGGCATGATAAAGCTCGGCGTCAAGCTTGGCTGGCCGTGGACTCCGGAGAGCACGAGTCCGGCGGCCGCTGCTCCGAACCAAGAAGGGGTGATGACGGGGGCAACGCCGCCGCTGGACGGCGAAAGCAAAGAGCTGCCCTTGAGTTTCCCCCAGGTTCCTCCCGACCCGCCGCAAGAAGAAGAGGGGGTGGGTGATAGTGGGCCTCCTACGCGCGGTGGCCGCAGCTTTTCCCGGGTAAAGGAAGCCATCGTCGGGACGGTGCTCGGCTCTCGGCTCCTTCGCACAACGACGACGACAGGCGGTGCCCCAGGGGCAATAACGAAGCGGAGTTCCACCGCGGATGATGCTGCTCCACTCCCGAGCGTGGCCGGCGCCCCCGCTGCGCCGCCGCGTTCTGCTGCCCCGACGCTTTCGCTCCCGCCGGCCGCTGCAGCGCTGCGGCGGATTGACGGTAGCAGTGCCGGACCAGCCCCCGCCGGCCGCGCGCCGTGGCGACCGCCGGGCTATCGCTGGGGCAAATCCTTAGTCTCCAACATGAGCGGCTTACCGGGTGTAGAGAGCGAGCGGGTGACGGCAACCACTGACGACGGCGGCGGCAGTAGTAGCGGGAGGCAGGTCGCGGGGGTGGGTGCAGCCTCTGCTGGTGCGGGTTGGTCGCCGTCGGCTGCTGCTGCGGCAGACGAACAAGGGGGGGCAACCGAGGCGACAGGGGGTGTCCAAGGGCAGCAAGAAGAGGCGCGGCAGCGGCAGCTGTCGTCGAGGAGAATGAGCGTTTTTCGTGCCCTCTCTACGACGGCCGGCGGGGTCGCAACTCGACTCCCTTTGATGAAAAAATCACGCAGTGACGACGCGCGGGAGCAGGACTTGCCCGATCAGGCGTACAACAGGAACAGTGTTGGCGAGTGGGCGTCGGTTGAGGTTTCTCCGCCTGCCTCCACCAAAGCAGACGCGGCGGAAGGAGGCGCCAACGGCGCGCAGGGCAGCGGCGGCGGCGGCGGCGGCGGTGGCGGCGGCGTGCCTTGGTGGCAGGCAGGGGCCGCCGTGCTGGTTGGCGTCGGGGCCGCGCTTTACAGACCCGTCAACAGACTGCCGGGATTGTTATTCAAGGATGAGAAGGAGGAAGAACAGCGAAGACGACAAGGGGAGGAGGGGCGGCAACAGGGGACGCTTTCGCAGGTGGACGCTACTACGAGTCCAGCGAGTTTCCAATTGGCTCGTCCAGCCGAAGAGGTGGCGTCGGTGCCACCGGAGCCGCGACCGAACCCGCCGCCGCAGGAGCCGCCGCCGCAGGAGACGACCACCTCCGGTTCGCGCGCTCGGCAGGGGGTAGCAGGCTTGGTGGACAGGGCGGCGACGATGTCGAGGAGGGCGAGGCTGTGGACACTCTTGAAGCGCAGGTCACGTGCTCGCGCGGAGCCCCTTCTGACGAGCGTGGACACGAGCATCATGTCGCTCACCCCGTCCGAGCTCCTATCGCCACCGGTGGAAGAACAGGAGACCGCGCTGTCATCTTCGAGCGGCAGGGGCCCAGAAGAGTCGATAGGTGGGGGGGCGGGGAATGGGGACGCGACAGCGACGAGCGAGGTCAGCGCCCCCCAGGCCGTCGGCGGCGCGGGGTGGAACCTCTTCGGGTTCTTCCCGAAGGACAAGTTTTCCGACTACCTGCCCGCCGGCCCATCGCCGGTGGTGGAGGGAGAGGAGGAGGAAGATGACGAGGACGAGGAAGAAGGGGAAGAGGAGGAGGAGGGGGAGGAGGAGAAGGAGGAGGAGAGTGTCGTGGTATCGAAAGCGGTGGCAGCGGCGGCGGAGACGGTGGCGAAGCTGGCCAAGGCATCTGCTTCTTGGAGCAAAAGCGGCGACACCGAAGATAACGAACCTGAGGCGGCGGCGGCGGCAGCAGCGCCGGCGTGGCCGAAATCGGCCTGGCTGAAAGGTCTAGACCCGAGGGCGCAGGTGCGGCGGTGTGTGGCGCTTGTGGATTTTGTGCTTGTGGCGGCTCCCGCGTGCCGATTGTTTCCTACGTACGCACAATGCTTCTTGCCCTCTCTTTTCGAAATGATGATGCGTTTCGGCCCTTCCGTCCCCATCTAATCTCCCGGGCCCACCTCCTCCGGTATAAATCCCCAGCTTCCTTCCCATATACGTTGCCAATGCCGCGATCCTTGCCATCGCTGTCTCGAGCCTCTCTTCTCCTGCGCGTAGGGTCTAGACGAAACGATTAAACAACATACGGTGTTAGTGCACCTCTGCGCCTTCCAGCAGGGTCTGGGGTCAAGCATGGGGACCATGTTTCGCCCAGGACCCAGGACCGAACGATGATGACAGAAACATTTCGCCCAGGACCCAGGACCGAACGATGATGACAGAAACATTTCTTGATTTATCGTGAACCCCCGTACTCCTTCCTTCCAGTACATAACACGCCAACAAAGGAGTAAACGCAATCGTGCGTGCACGCTTCGCACGCCCTCTGCTGTGCATGCGACACCACCTTCGATTTTCCAAAAGGTGGAGGCTGCCATGCGCGACGCTCTCCGCCCGGCGTTCGACTTTGCAGTACGCGAAGCACGCACGTCGCACGCCGCCCATGTACCCTACTATGCACGCGCGCGCGTCTCACCACTTTTAGGTGGAGGCTGCCATGCGCGACGCTCTCCGCTCGGCGTTCGGCTACGGCCTGGTGGCGCCGACGGCAGGCGTTCCGGCCGAGACGCTCGAGGCTGCCACCCTAGCCGCCGGCAACGCGGCGGTGGCGGAGGGCGCCAAGCAGCTGCTCGAGGGGAAGAGTAGCAGCCCGACAGGCCGATACCTGGACGAGCTGGGACCCGGCGGGGGGGGGGGGGGGGGGAGCGGGGACGCCGCCGCCGCCGCCGCCGAGAAGAAAAAGACGGACGGCCTGTGGCTTGGCGCCGAGGCGGCGGCGTACGCGGCAGGGGCGGCAGCCGGGGTGAGTTGTGTTTTATGAGCTCGTGCCCTGTAAACCCCCTTACCACGGACAGAAAATTCGGCGGTCTTGCGAAATTTCTGAAATGTAAGAAAAAGAGCGAACGACGCCTGCTGATTGGATGGTGCAGACAGTTCCATCCCTGGGTGCAAGTGCAAAGCTGCCTTCCCACTTGAGCCGTCTCTTGTCTATAATCCCTATCAATTGTCCCCTCGATACGAGGGGACACGAGGGGACAATTGATAGGGATTATAGACAGCAACTGGCGGGAGCGTGGTAAACGGGGCACGAAAAGGAGGTTTTCAAGATATTTCTCTAGAGGGAAAGCAAGACCTTCTAACTCAAGCCCTAGGTTGCTTGGTGCCTCCTATCAACGGTGATCTAGGTACTTCTTCCGCGCTTGCCCCTAGTAGCGCTTTCCACCCAAGGGTAAACAGACGCGGCGCAACCTCGCTGTTGAACCGGCGGCGTAATCGCCCCGCGATTCGACCTGTTCATTACCCTCATACTCCTCCACTCTACAAAGCATCCATACTAGACTAGAGTCGTCCCTGTGTACCCTGGCACCCCCCTGGTCGAGTACTGCAAAGGAGGAGGCAATCATGCCAATCTTCGCGAGGTAAAGCCGGTGAAGAAGATGGGGACAAAAAGTGTCCCCAAAAGGCGATCCAGCCCTAAAGCGGTTAAGGGTTTTCGGTCGGGTGTGCGGGAAAGGCTCGGAGGAGGGTGGCTGTGTGGGGTGTCGCCGGTGTGTTGAGCCCGCCGTCAAGGCGGGGGGTGGGATAGCTCGGGGTGATGGTGGCGGGTGACGGGGACTGGGATGGCAATCGTCGTTTTCGTGCCGTTGTCGGGCGGGACAAGGGACGTTGCGGCAGGGCCTCGAAGGGCACGGCCGGAATGTCTGTTTTTCTCCAACTTTACCCCCGACACTACAATAGACGTTGCGCGACCGGTCTTCACACCACCACAGCGATCTGGAGTGTGTATCCGCTGCACAATTTTAGCGGCTGTAGACTGGGGCGGCCCGCGGTCATGCTGACAAGAGCGGCGACGAAAATAAGACTGGCTGATGTCGTAGGTGTACGGTACGGTATCGTGAACGAGCTCTTGAGGGGGTTCATGACCGGGATATAGCTAGATCACCACTGAAAAAGCACATTAGACGCCATTAACCCCACACTCGCGCCCATCACCAGGTGGTAATTTTTGTGTTCGTCACACCCACACCGACCCCCCCCCCCAAGAATCTCCCAGTGTTTGCGCGGTTGACCGTTTATTTCGATACCGCCCGAGAAAAAAACAACACGTATTTATGCCCTCCTTTGCAGGTACCCTCCCCGAAAATCCCCACTTTTTTTTGCGGTTATTTTTACCCCCCCCCCCCCCCCCCCTTTTATGCAAGCCACCCTTGAACCTTACATGGGGAAAATGACCTCCCCGGAGGAAAGTACCCAGTACAGCAGCTGGGGCAAGTTGAGAGAAGAAACGGTCGTGGGACGCTTGGGTTGGTTACCATGCAGATCGCCTGGCACAAACTTGGGGTACTTGTGCTAAGGGTGTTGAACTTGGCTCCAGGCTATGAGCCCGTGTTGGAGGCACTTTTTAGTGTCGGTGAGCCGGCAAAAGAATTGAAAGACACCAGACCCTCAACAAGTACTAGGATTGGGAAGTCCCAGTAATTTGAAAGCATCCCACTTCAAACACAAAGAACGAGATAGTCTCGAAAGAGATAGGGAGGGAGACGACGAGGCACAAAGGGTGGAGAAGGAGAGAATGGAAAGGTGCAGTACTAGTAGTGTTGATATTTGGGGTCAATATCGACATGACAAGGTTGGAGTTCAAAAGTAGATGTGAAAGAAGTAGGATTGTATTGCTTCGCAAGGGGGGGGGTAGAAAGGGAAGGAAACCACTTTAGAATCACGTTTGGAAGGAGAGTAAGCGCAGAATGGGAAAGACTAGAAGTAGAGAAGATGTCGGCGTGGGTGAGGAGACTAGGTTGGAGGGTGTGCATAGCAAATAGGATCCAGGAAGTAAGGCGTAGCCCAAGGCTGGCTGAAAACAAAGGGGGGCAGGAGGCCCGAAAGGGTCAAAAGGGAAAGCAAGCCAAAGTAGGAGAAGGGGGGGGCAGCGATAGGATAAGGCAGAAGGGAAGGCAAATGAGGGACAAAAGGAATCCTGAAAGGCACAGGAAAGCAGAAAGTAGGAGTAAGGAAATCAGAATAGGGTCTTGGAATGTATGCGGATTTGCCACAGATGAGCGTAAAAGACTCGAAATTGCCGAGCAAGCGGCCGAAAAAGACCTGGACATAGTCGGAGTCCAAGAGTCGTGGGAGAAGGACGGGGGAGAAATAGGAAAAGAAGTGGGAAGCTACACATGGATAGGTAAAATGAGGAGAGGACAGAAAATCAAGAGTAGAGGGGAGGGGGGAGTTGGATTCTTTGTCAAGGAGCACATGTGCGACATAATTGAGGTGATCAGCGACACCAAATTCAACGAAAGCATGTGGATAAGGGTACCAGGGGAACGGGGAAGAAAGGACTTGTTCGTAGGAAATGTATATATACCACCAGAGTCGAAGAATATGGTGAAAGACATCAGGATAGGTTTCGAGGAGGTAGCAGCGGATGTACAAAACTTCAAGAGAAAGGGAGAAGTAGTTCTAGTTGGGGACTTCAATTCAAGAATCGGGCGAACCACGAACCCACACGGAACCATAGGGCAATACGGGGAGGGAGCCACGAACAAAAACGGGGAAGAAATGCTGAGGTTCCTTGACAGTAGCGAGATGAAGGTGTTGAACGGTAGAGTACGAAAGACAGAACCGGAATGGACTAGGCAATGTTTCAAAAAAGGAGAACGCTCCATCCTTGACTATATAGTCGTAGAGAATGGGGGGAAAGAGACGGAAGTACGAGTATGCACAACGGATGTAGGTACTACAGACCACGCGTTGGTGTGGACAGCCCTACAACAGAAGAGAGTCATACAGAGTAGGCGACGCAGGAAAATGTACAGATGGAGAATAGATAAGCTAGAAGTAGAAGAAACGAGGGTAGAGTTCCAAGAAGAGATGGCTATAAACGACAAGAAACTCTCGGAGTTGATGGAGGCAATGGGTACACCGAAGGATGCCGAAGGCCGGGACCAGGCCGGGTCTAGAATCATAGAAGGGTGGGAAGAGCTGGTAAACACAACAGCAAGCAGAGTTCTAGGTAGAAAGTTGATAGTTTGTAAGAGAGCAGTGAAGTGGTGGGACGAAGAAATCAAGCAAGCAATTCGAGTACGTAGAGAGTCACACGCAAAATATGCGGCAGGGAAAACAGATGCAGGATGGAAGGAGTACGTTGAAAGTAGAAAGAGGGTGAAGGAGTTGGTCGTGAAGAAGAAGAAAGGGTTGTGGGAGGAAGTAGTCCAAAAGACTAACGAAGATTTTGAGGGGGGGATGAAGCAAATGTGGGTAGGAATTCAAGGGATAGTGGGCAAGAAAAGAGGGGGAGACACGGAAATAACGACACTAAGATCTGCCGAGGGTAAGATGGTAAGCAGTTCTAAAGGAAAGAGGGAAGTACTAGTAGAGCACTACCGCAAACTTGGGACACCCACCACCAACGACAACTTCGACTCGGAGTTTGAGAAG